CAGCAAACTTATTTACAGTTTAAACAAGGAAATTTGTCTTGGCGGCTGCTAAAAGGGCAGCCAGCTGGTTTTAACTCCAAATGCCATTGCTGGCCTCCTCCTCTATTTTCCATACTCATGTAAACACATCTCTATCTCTAGGATAAGACAGGCCTAATTCTTAGCTCTAGATCTTAATCTCATGTCTATTAATTCTTCAGGGTGAGCCTAAAACATGCTGCACAAGGTGCTGTGCAGGGCTGTGATTCACTTCAAGACCCAACAGGGATTTCCACAAACCCAACTGATGATTTAACAGAATAGCGGCTTGATGTCTAACCTGGGGGTGGAGGCATACTCCTACATTCCCAAGCAGACACTTCTCCCCTACTCTCATCTGAATGATTGATTTGCAGCCTCCCTCTACAAGGGCACTGAACTAAATTCTTGCTCATATCATCAGAAAGCTCAATCCCCCGTCTGTATCAGAAGAACAGAAAAATAAAGCTATGCTCTATATCTTTCCTCCACAAGCCAACAATACTTGGAACCCAAACAGTGCTGGAGGAGATTATTATCAGGCAGCAGCAGTACTGTACTGATAAAGCGGAATGCAAACAGAGATATGAGAAGGAGTTGGCATTGTCAGTGCCAGTAACAACCAGCTGATGCAGGCAGCACAAAAAAGAAACAACATCTGCCCATCACCCTTGAATAGCAGCACCAGCCATTTTCAGATCCCACAATTTACAGGGTCTGACTAGTGATGGCTAGAACTTTGCCACCCAGTTCCTGATGAAAAAGGTAGATCCTCTGGCTTTACTCCACAGGCTGGCACCAGCTTGGAGGCCTGCGTTAATTACTCGGTGGCCTTTGAATCCCCAGAATTTCAGCATCAGGCTAACACATTAGGGGAAACTTAAAGGAAAATTACTTAACTGACTAGTTTACTTTCATTGCCCACACAGATACATGGAAACATATTAAAGTGAAAGTTAGCACAGATACTAACAGTGAAGATGGACAGAAATTTCTAACTTAAATTACTTTTAATAATCCATAATACATAGTAAGAAATACCCAGTGAGCCACTGTGGCACAAAAACATATGCACAGGTATTTTAGCAACTCCAAAATAGCGTAGCACCTGATGAAGCGTATTACTGGCTTGGCTGGCAGTAGGACTGTAGCACCTATTTGTTGGCTGAATCACTGACAAGTTACTGATATCCAATGGCAGGTCTGCATCACAGAACTTCTCACATCTCTGGGGCCCGTCTCCCTTTTGAGTGGATGTCAAACAGCAAGGGGAGTCCAAATAAAAGGCATTCATATCCACGTTTTCTTCACTGTCACCACTAGTACAGTCTCTAAAAAAAAAAAAAAAAAATCATTGTGCAACACGCATACACTTAGGCCCAATGTAGCAAGGCAAGCACGTGCAAGAAACTAAGTTAATGGGATTATTCTTCCGCTTAAAGCTGAGCACATATGTAAGATCTTGGCTGGATGAGGCACAGTCTTCAAGTATAATAATGGGGCATTGAACTACTTCTGTGAAGAAGCAGATATATTACCATACACTTGTGCATCCATTTAACCTAAATGACAGGACAAACAAATATTAAGATTCCTTCTAACACTCAACAGCAAGGTAGCCACACTTTCTGCTTTCATTTTCAACCCTCACACATGCCCTTCCTGAAAGCCACCTTTAATTAAACCTAATACTTAGAGCTACCTTTTAAATGGAATGTTTTAAAATAACTTTTAAAAGTTATTTCCCCAAGTCAGAGATGACTTCGGAGTTTTTGCTGATCTTTGACTACACTTAACTTTTTCAATAGTTGCAGTGGTGAGGATGGATGTTGACTACAAGTACAATTTTAGTAAGCTGTAGTTACAGCCAAAGCAAGACAGCCTGTGGAGGGTTTCAGGGTATGGAGCTGAAAAATAAGGTGGATTGTTTCAAATTTTCCAGCAGGTAAAAACCAAGCAGCATAGAACCAGGGTTGATCACCAGCCACACTCCCAAAAGCATGCCAAAACTGATCCGATTCGGACTCCAGGTACAATGTCATCTCTTCGCACCTGCAACTTCCTCCATTGCAACTTGGTGCCATGGCTGCAGAGCTGTCAGACAGACCATCATTCATTGGAAAAGTATTCAAAGGAGAAAAAAAATCCCAAACCTGAGAATATTTGTAGTTATATGCAACTTCTTTGGCTTCAGTTTATACATAATCCCCTCCTCCCCACAAAAAGCATTAGATTAGGGTTAAGTCTGCATAAGCACATTTCCTCATCACCACATCTTGAAAAGCAACAGTACTGCATGTTAAGGGTAAGTCATACTCAACAGAACACCACTGCCCAAGCACTGACCCACTATCATCTTCGGACCTGCCATATTGGCACAAGCACCAGTCTATCACCTTTGTTTTCCATTTAACAGCGCTATCAACCTCAACGTATGCTTCAAGGAATGGGGTTACAAATAGTCTTTCTTCCCATAATACAAATCAACTCTCCTGTTTATCCCAGGGGAAAAAAATACTGCTGTAGAATAGCGGCGAGCTGCTTTTGGAAGCTTCAATGCCATATCACGAGACATCAAAGAAGCAGTGATGCCAGTTATACTGACTGCTCTACATCTGACCAGGTAGGCACCGATTAAATTTTAAAAAATTAATAAAAGCTTCAGCCAATCAAAAATCACCTAATTTACATATTTTAGCAGTACAGGAAGTTCATTAGAACCCTGCATGGGTGTCAGTCTCGTTATGTTGGGATAAATGCCAGGGAATTAGCACTGGGCAGATTCTGAACGCTTAACAAAATCACCTGCCTACTGAGTTCTGTTGGCAATAAAATGTCTACTGCAGTTCGCAGCCTACACAAAGGTGTGTTGTAGGATCTGCTTGTAGTTTTAGTTTTGAGCTGTGCAGTGGTATTTACCACCAAATGTAATATGAGGGGGGCAGGGGTGGCCAACCCCATTTCCCAGTAGCTCCTTCTGGCTGCTGTTGCCAGACTCAGCTGCTGGATGAAGCCTCGCTGCCTGTGCACCCTGATCCATCTGCTCTGCACCTACCACCAGGGGTGGGGTCCACACAGGCAGGGCACATGGCCAGGAGTGAGACAAGTGGGCTGGGCTGGGGAGACCTTGAGATCCTGAGGCGGTGACACTGCAGGGCCAGGGTAGAGCCATGATCCACTGCTCACATGCCCCTGCAATGATGGCAGATTCAGTGGGCAGGGGCGTGCAGGGAACAGATTGCGGTTCTGCCCCAGCCCCAACCCCAGCCCAATGCTGTCACCACCCCAAGATCCTGGCCCTTGTCCCAGGGCAGCTCCTCACTGTTCTCCATGGAGACACTGGGATCATGGGGCCATGACAGCACAGGGTTGGGGCAGAGCCCTGGTTCTGCAGACAGGGGTGTGTGGGAAACATACTGCAGCTATGCCTCAGCCCCATGATGCTAGCCAAGAGCTGTGTGGGCAGGGGCTGCCAGGAAATGAAGTCTGGACACAGCCCTGCTGCCTGGGCACCCCAGCTCATCTGCCGTGGGCCGGATCTGCCATTTTGCCCACCCCCCTGAATCAACATCACTTAAATATGGCAATTAAAATAAGAATACCGCAGAACATTTAAAAAGCACAGAAAGACGTGACCATCTCTCAACCTAATGTGTTCCTGTAATCCTCTCCCTGATAAATGGAGTTTTACTGGCACATTTCTGAATCAGCAGGGAAGTGTCAAATGATAGCATGCAACCTATCGTTCATCATTCAGTAAGCACCAACAATGTCCCCTTCCGCTCTTGACAGGATTAACACAGACAGTCCCTACACCAAAGAGCTTACAATCTAAAAGGAATAAAAGCTGCAGCAGAAGATCCACAGGAAGACATTAACTTAGAGCTGTTTCTTTTGTTTCATTTTACTTTTCCTCCTGTAAAAACCTGGGGTACAGAGAGTGTCTGAGTGGCCTGAGTTACTGTTTGCAAGCCTCAGAAAAGAAGGGGATCCTTAGGTGGGAGATGAATGAGGAGGTGTGGAGGCCTGGCACTGGGTTCAGGACACCGTTCATAGATTCATAGATTAAGGGTCGGAAGGGACCTAGTAGATCTTCTAGCCCGACCCCCCGCCAGGGCGGGAGAACAACAAAAAACCCCAAAAAGAGAAATGGGACTCAAACGAGTCCAGCCAGGTAGGCATCCAGCCTCTTCTTAAAGACCCCCAGGGTAGGGGCCAGCACCACTTCCCTTGGAAGTTGGTTCCAG